GGTGGCCCTAAGCCGCCAGGTTAGATATTGTACCCAAACCGCCAGGTTGACACCACCTGACTTCAAGTCGTCAAGTGAAATATGAATTATATCGGGCTTCAGTTCATCAAAGAATTACTATTAACTATACTCCAGTTGAAACTTAAAGAGGAAACTCAGATAAATGCTCTTTCAAGCCTCAAGTACCATGTTTCCCTGTGCAAAGCCATCTGCCTCCCATGCCCAAATATTTTTTAAAGACTTGTTATCAGAGCTGGAGATAAATACAACAGTGATATCAATTGCTCCAATCGTTTAGTAAACAGTTACTCAATATATCAAACCCTCTATGTCAATATGCACGCTAATATGTACATATACGTCTAAAACTTAGACTTGAAATCGACACTCGGTGGCAGGTGGGACTCATTTTGAGGACTTCGGTCGAAAGTCCAACCTGGCGGTTTAGGGCCACCGTAAAGTTTCATTGGAAGTCGAAGGAAGTTGACCTAGCGCTTCGCTTACGAACAATTGAGAAAGTTTGACCATGCACTTCTCGGACACCGTAGATTGCACAAAACCTCTCCTATCACTTTCAAGCCGATCAAATGATATTAGATAATTATTTGATTGACGAACAATAATCAGCAAGCATAGGTATGCTGATTCCGCGTTGTTAGGCTCATTGATTCATTAAATACAGTTTTAGTTATGGGGAAAACAAGGCAACATCTAAGCTGATAATGACTCAAATCTGTAGGACAATTTTCTTCCAAACTTCCGCTTTTAATCGTTTATTACTATTATCAATTCATTGCTGTAATGAATCATTATGGTCACCGTATACCGCCAAGCTGACGCCAGCTTGAGGATTTATGTGAATATACCTTGAGCACCAGACTTCCTTCGAAGTCCTTTGTTCTCCACACTTGAGAATTATTGTCAACACTGAAGAGATGAAAAAGGATATGCATTACATGCTTATTGCACGGTTACTAGGATATATTAAGCTCTATCTCAACAAGCACCCTGTGACGTGGTGTCCGAGAACCGCCGAACCTTCTCTTTTTACGCAGATCACCTCTTTTTTGACACTATTGGCACTACTATCATTCTGAACTTTGAGACTTGGAATGACTATGATAACATACAGCTTTGAAACTCATTGTGCTATTCTATTTAATATTAGGTAACGCTAGAGTGCAAACATCTGCTCTTAATCTTGAACCTGACATCTATTGTCTCAACCATCTAGAACAAATTGAAAGGTGGCCCTTGAAAGACTTACTTGCTTTATTCAACTGTGAAAATGTCCCGTAATCTTTGTAAAAATGCTTTCTATCCGTACATGATTGTTGCTCAGATGTACACACGCCATCATGAGGTAATTAATTAGCTGAAGAAGGTTGACCTGCAAGTTTGCCTGGGAGAGTTGAAAGAATTCTTTTAACCTTGCATTCTCGGACACCGTAATCCACCCAGAACTACATTCCACAAGTTGACTCAATCTCGAAATCAGCTCAGACACCACACAATATCAGTTGTTACGATTTCCAAAACCGCCAGGTCAACCTCCTAACTGGCTACCACTTGCGACCAACTTCACAACCAGAATCAGTGTCCAGAGCCCAAAATGAGTTCCAAAGTACCATCTCCATCGATTCACACCACCTGCCCCCTCCGTCGAACCTTCTGTGAAACACATGTAAAGTGGGGTTTCTGGCATCCTAAACTGTCTCATTGCTTCAATGAATGTCTCAAATTGGATTTAAAAGTTGCTTCTTTGATCGTTAACACAGGATGATCTAAAATATATACGAGGCAGGGGAGCAGGTGGGGACAATTTTGTGCTTTGGTCGAAAGTTTTGACCTGGCGGTTCTGGAACACCGTAAGTGCCTCTGCATTTACAAATAATTGAATTTGACAGTGCGCTTCCTAGGGATACTATCTTATGTTCATTGTGAATTGTCACAAAAGGTGAAAGGGAACGTGGATTGATGATGCATATGATTTGCATACAACCCATTGCAAATTCCCAGCATACTTTAAAATTCAAACATAGAGGCGTCATTGTATCGACGTAAGAGTCGACCGACTCATAATTACAACAAGAGCAGAATATTTGGGTTCACATTCAGTCTGATGCTGTATAGCGTGTTCCAAAATGACCTGGCAGTTTCGAACACCGTAAATAGAGATACTTATTGTAGGACCCTCCGGGCGGTCCTGACCATAATTGTCAGTACATAAATCAAAAGCAATGCTTTTTAAAAGATAGTTGTTTCGTATCAAATGATTGTTCAATGTAAATTCAAGTAAAGCAGGTAAAGAACGATGATGACATATATGGCACACATAAGGATCAATGGGTTGTGCATGTTCCAGGTAAAGCGATGGGGCGTGCATAGCACAATGTGCTACAATAAGTCACAACGGGCGCCTCGTAGTCTATGGCCATAATCCGGATAAATGGTCACGAGACCCCTACTGGACGCTCACCCACAGGCCGAATTACGAAGTAGAAAGCTCAAAATTTACAACAAACAAGAAATATGAAACAAACACATACAAACAACTACGGTTTTCTCGAACGTCGTGCCTGTTGAGGGCCGGTAGACCTTCCCTTATGGTCAGGAATATGTGGAATACACTACAGCCATTTTCACCACCAGTACATTGTTGCTCTATAATTTACACTGAGTCAAATATACTCATATCAAATGATGTAGATCATTCACTAGTGATAAATTAGTCAGATTCCCCGCCCAATAGATTGTCGGCTATCTCATCCTCTGAGCCTTCGCTAGCTTCACTGAGAACGGAGTCATCTGGAGGGACACTATTCCCGTCGGTCAATAGGTCTTCTACATCCCCATCTAGCTCCTTGGAGACTGTGCGGCTGTACTTCCTTGAGCTTTTCGCATTCGATTTTGACCCGCGTCCTCTTGGTGTAGGCGATTGCCGTGCATCACGATCACTCCTCAACGATATAGAGGAAGAATTACTGGGTCG